GTTGATGATTTCCCTGATTTGGTGTATGCGTGCAGTTCCATGCGGGTGATTATCACTGACTTCTGACTAACGACGTGATTCTGTTGGACGAAGTAGTATTTCGCAAGCTATTAACTCGTTAGGAGAGCCAAATTGACGAGAATTCACGTTTGATATGAGCCATGCACTGCCATTTTTCCATGAATTTTCTCATGAAAAAAAAATTAGCGTACTCTTACAAATGTTATTTAGCGATTTCTCTCAGTATATGCGGCGAACTAAAGCATTAATTTAGTCTGTCCATTGAGTTACATGTTACTACAGATGCTCTGTATTTCGTGAAATCTTGTCAATTTCGATCCACGAAAAAAATTTTGAGTTGGGCGATGACCGGAGAGCAGCAGCACTGCTCATTTTCTATCGTGGAATGTCGTCTTCTTTCGTACTTATCCGCCTCCTTTCACCATCACTGGTTGATGACGGCTATGCGACATGCGGCTTAAATCGTTAGCATTCCCGATGACGTTGACAAACGATGATTTTGCTCGTGATGTGCATGTTTCAGTCGAATTACTGAATTTCACATCTTCTAGTCGAAAGTGGATGATCGAAAGTGTTACATTTTCGCTACAGACTTCCAACTTGAATAGAATCTCCTCGCATTTAAGCTTTAAAGACCTCAAGTTTATCTCGCTTTCTCAAACGCTTTCTCATCTTTCTATCTTTTTCTAAGGCTACTCATTCGTCATCAATTTTTTTATTTTATTAGATCCATTTCGAATTTTCTGTACAAAATTGTGTTCAGCAAACGTTGCACATTGTGATAGCAAGCAAACTATGGAAGGAGGTCAACATATTCGCACAAAGTCTCATCTTTGCGAAGACAGGTAGGATCTTACTTAGTTTCTCTTCTCATCAACTTCATGAAGTTGATTGTAAAATTTGCGTGCTAACGTTTTATGGTTCTATTTGCAAGTAGCCATAATAGTTGTTTTCTTCACTCGAGCACTTTAGAAGCATTATTTTTGCTTTGATGATGTTGTTCATGAATGCGGTGATGACATCGAGAGAATGTTAGGAACGAAAGGAAGCATCATTTTCTGAAGATCCTCACCATCCCATACGAGCGATTATACTCCCGAATCGGAACGGAAATTGTGGCTGCCAATTTTCCTATACTGGAGAGCTCACGACTTGACCGCTCAGTGTTTACACAATCGTGTTCATTTCCTCTGCCGTTGAATTTTAAATCGGGGTCGACGAAGGACAAGATAAGATGCTGGAAGTGGTTCCACTAGGTTCCTATGTTGCTTGTAGGATCTGTTTGTTGACCAGCTTCATCGCTCTACAACTTCCATCCTATCACTGCTTTTTAAGATTGGTCTGCTGGTAAGTGTAGATGTGTTATAACTCTCCAACTACGAATTGCGAATACCTGTTAAAAGCAGATTCTTTGTCTTTCCATACCATTTCGATGCTGTGCGAATAAGACAATAGAAGTTTTGATTTTTTTTTCGCTTGTAGCTATATTGAGTATTTCCGTGTGAGCGTCATTTTTCATGTCGACTAATGCGTTACGAAAAGAGCAGGTTACTTTCTGCACTTTCTGCTAAATGTTTGGATTAAGTTGCCTCTAAACGACTTGTTAGGATTTTCCTATAAAAAAAGGTTTATTGCGCATGTAAAAACAAGTGAAACACTGGACATGGATTTCATCTTTCTTAACAATTAATCTTTTGGATTTTTAGCTGTGATCATATGTCTAAATTACTTTCCCAGGTGATTTATTCGTCAAATACTCCCCTTCATAAAAATGTTTATGAAGTGACCGGGTTTTAATATGTGATCTTGTCTAAAACAACAGATAGACGCCGTATTAGAATTGCATTCTTCAAGAATGTATTCGCAATTAATGGTCAATGTGGATGTCTACTGTTAGAGTTTGGTACCTCGAGACAATAAAAGCTGTCATGACAAATCCTGGGACTCCTGTAGCGCAATGGCTGCAGGTGACCTGAGATACATCTAAAGTGTTTGGTTCAATACTGTGCCTTGAATAAACTTACCATTCCATTTCTTCGGAGTGGGCAGACTTGCACCAGACTTGTCTGGGAGGATTAACCACACTTACTTGATATATCGATATGTCTGCGTTATTCATTGTATAGCGCAAATATGCATTACCACTGCGAGGCTTAATGGAATTCAATAAATAGCGCATCCCACGGGGATGCATCAAACGCTTTATCCTTTTGTCGTCTATTGCACATTCAACTTGGACTAGAGTCACCTTCACAACATAGCAGGATAAGCGGCTAATCGTGGCAGGGAAGTGTTCGATATTGGAGTTATTCAGTAACTTTCTACACATTACCATGATAGTTGTACTGGTACTTAGGTACTGACCTGTGCATCCAGCTTTGTGTGAATGAGCAGCAATTAATAGCAGGCGCACTCGATATTATCCCTCAGGCAGATGCCGGTGCGTTATCATGGGCGGTGGTGGTGGTGACGGCGGCGACAGGCGGCAACTGCGTGGGGGAGGGGAGGGGGGCGGTGAATTACACGGTCGACCCCCATGAGCATAAAAATGGAGCGAATTTACATTGATTGCTTGATTCAGTACTGTTTGAACCAAGCCCCTCTTCCCTTCTTCACCCACCAAAACCACCACTGTTGTCGTTTTTTCTTTTCCTTTTTTGAAAGTTCCGTTTCATTTATAGAAACCATATTTTCCTGTAGTTGATTTTTTCATTGTCAATTTTCTAGCAGCTAAAAGGTCGCGTTCATTCATCCCTTTCTTTTCAATCTCCGTTTGGTGCTTACATTTTTGAATGAATTCTGAAAGAATGTGATTATAGGTCGCTCAGTTTTATTTGTTGTAGTTTAAGTATACATGTGAGCAAACAGCGATTGAGCCTGGTTTTTCGACAGTTGACGACGATTTCTCGACCAGTAGAGTAATCAAGAGATTAAGAACTTTGCTGATTTATAGAAGAGAATTTTCCTGTCTCCTTGATGGTTTGTTTAAGCACCTTTACAACTAAAATTCCGGGAAAAAATGGAGATGAAACTCCCATTTTCGAAATGTCCAGCGATGTGCGGAAGCTGCGAACATTAACGATGCATTGTCAAATACCACAGTGGTTCCGCTGACCGAAATCACACTTCTTCAAGCGTTTTTGTGTTCGAAACACGAGCCTTGGCTCAGCAAAAAAGCGTGGAAAAGGAGGGTTTCGTGAGCTCCGCAAAGGCAGGATTCAAGCTTCGTAAAGCCAAAGTTTAACGTGTTTCATCATGGTAATATAAGAGAGCCTCTATCTTCTTGATCGAGATCTCTATGCTCCAGAGTTTTTTGTTTTTACCAATGAAGTTTATCGTGAGTTGAGCTATTTTGAGTTAAATTTAAAAGCAGGCATTATTTTCTTGCAACGTGCATCGGATTCAGTGCATATCAGACGTTAACTGTTAATTATTTTTTTACATGACATAACGTAGATGTCCTGCGAGTCTCAACACTTATTTCGTTCATTTCCTTATTTCGCATCTCTCGTACACGAAACTCTTGGTATACAAATGTCGTTAGATGTTAACGGAGTTCATTCTCCTCTGATTTCAGGCATAGCCTTTCCTAAAGCGTTCCCACGTCTTCATCAAGTCAATTTCCACCCTTTTTGAATCGAAGGGGGCTCTTGCGAAACAAACACACTACCGATTTCACTACCCCGGCTCGTAGGTAGACTTTGTGGGCTGGGGTGTGGCCAAACCAGCGACCATTGCACGCGTTATTACACGACCACTCCTACCCTATCATCACGTCTCCTTTATGCATAAATGCTGTTTTCCTTGTACTTTTAAATCAAGTGCATCTCTACCATTTACTGATCTTTGAACTGGTTCTGAGTGCGAATACAGTTTATGAATAGTGAAGTTCATTTGTGCTTGCTTTATTGAAAGCTATGGAGTCATGCAGTCATGTAGTCGTACAGTTTGACTTTTGTATGCGTCTATTCACGGATTCGGTGCTTCGAAACTCTTATGAGCTCATTTATTACGTCAAAGAAACTTCGAAACTTCTACTTTTATCTGTAGCCACCCTAACTTTTCTAGTTTGTTCTGCCAAATTACACTTCATGTAGTTTACTATGTGGAAATAAGAGTGGTAAACAAGTCAAGTAATAGGATCCATATCCTTTACGATAGCAGTGCTTTAATAATGAGCTGTTGTATGCGCTTCTATATTACTAAGTTTTATGGCTATGGTGAGGTTAATGTGTTCACTGAATACACTCCATTTCGAAAATTACAAGATCATGTAACCGATGCTAGACTGAAATGCATGCCAAACCCGGCAACTTATGATATATAATTACTGTTTGACTTGAACGTACGAAGAAGTCACCTATCACGGCTAGGAACGAAACGACGTGTGTGGATTTTATTCGATTTATTCCCTCTGATGCCCACAATGCTCCCAACGGTTTATCGCCTCATCGTGTCTGGGAGGTGTTCCTGGGTGTTGAGCTGCGTTGTTCAGCGGAGGGAATCTTCCCCTGGCAAAGTCTCCCAAGCTGAGAAGGAGTCCCGCGTTTTCATCAGAAAGCCTAGCTAAGAGTAAACCAATACCAGGATCCATCACCGTCCTGGTATCAAAGTCGCATAGTGGTAAACCTCCCTCTGATCCACAAGTGCTGCGAATGTCTGTCGTGGTGACAACCTGGGGCAAACTTTAGCCGGGATTTCCTCGGTATTCCAGGGAGCCAAAATAGCTTAACCAACAACTCTCCGAAAAATGGAGATTATGCTGGGACCCGCACAACCAGTGAGGACGGGCAAGTCAAGTATCAAGTAAGTAAGTAAGATGCCCGCAATACGCGCCACATTCGATGAGTGATATCCATATGTTATACTCCATTAATGGATAATTAATGCTGCGGTATGATTGCTGCTCATTTCACGGAACGAGCCATAATGAAATTGTCCAGTGTGTCGTTTTTCATCTAGCTTTCGATTGAATTTCTGTTAATGAAATCTATCTGTTAGCCACAAGGCTACGCGATGGATTTCCTCTTATTTCATCTGCCATCTTTCATAAGGCGCTCCACTAAATCTTACACTTTTCTTAGATTTATGGACCAATTAATTCCATTTATAATGTTGTTCAGTCAAGAGTATGCACTATAGGTTGTTGTCTGGTTGGTTGTGTATTACAGCATTGTGGCCAGCCGTATTTTACCTGTTTTGCAAACCACTCATTGTTGAAGTTTGAAATGCGCTAGCCCAGAGGTGATATCAAAATCACTTCAGCTTAACTACTTTGAGGAAATGATTGATGAGCAAACTGTGGTTAATAGGAAGCAATCGGCAAGTGATCTTCAAAGTCGACTGAAGACGCGTAAACTACTCGGTGTTGGCGAGTTGGCGAGGGATAATGGTGACATCTATAAATCGAAGGTGAGAGAATTTTTGAAGGAATTGTTCTGAATTTGCAACTACAGTTAATTTAATAGAAATCAGTGTGCGTGCTCTAAAAAATTTTATTAGTATAGATGGGAAGTAGTGGTTTATAATTTTCTGTAGGATTATGCTTAACTGTGACAAGACAATGTTTATGTTCCTTAAGTCTCCTGTACAACCATAATAAATCTAAGCTTCTTTAAGATTAGCCAACTCCTTGGCATCAACGAGAATTTGTACGTCAGATTGCCAAGAGGATTACTCTACTGGAACACGTTAACTGCTTTGTATTTATATATGTTTGGAATCATGGTCAGTTTTTTAATAACCAGGCCAAATTTAGTTCCACGGTTCGTTGTGCATGATATTTTGCCTTTGTGGTACAGTACAGGGAAAGAAAATGGCACCAGCACCATTTTTTTATTCCAAACTCAAGCTACTATTGCTTTGAAAATCTGTATAGACAAGAGCGAAACGGTCAACTGTGCGAGATTTGCTTGATTTTAGGGCATCATCACTCCAACGTTAGCACTTCGTTTAGACTATGGTCTTGAAGTGAAGTCTGACGAAAGTACATTCATCGCAAGAATCTATGGCGCATGTCTTATTTCGTTCGGCATTCTCTTCAGGTCTGTCATTCACAAATTGCTTCCTTTCATTTTTTAAGCATCAACACTCGTTTGTCTAGAAAAAGCTTGTTCTTCTTCTCCTTCTTAAAAGTTCCTAGAAAGATTTATATTACCAAAAACAAAGATGGCAGAGTGTTGTGGTCAGGACCAAACATTTGAGAATTTCTAAGTCCAACTAACTAATAGTAATCAGTTGTTACCTACTACCTGTAATCGTGGTAGTTATCGGATTTATCCTGATTACGCACCAGTAAAGTCTCCATTCTTCCCTGTTGTGCTTCAACCCTACCCAGTGGCCTATGTTAGCTTGAAGGACAGGGCTACACTTATTGCACACGATGCCAGTAGCTTTCGCCGTTTTTGACGAGAAGGGAAGCATGGTTTGCTATCCATAGCATAGACTTGCTTAGAGCTGAGTTTCCGCGTGGATTTTTTGAAAAAATCAGTTTAGAGACCTACTTCAGAGATGAGCTTCACGTTTTATACCGCAGTTCGGCGGTTATATCCATTCTACGTCTCACTTATAACGAATCTCCAGGCTATGTTTGTTAGACTGAGTTGCCACAAAACAAACGAAGCCTAATCGAGGGATTTATAACGTTCGCTGAAATATGATCCATGTCGCAATTCGAAGAGTTGTTTTCCTAAGACCAAGAGATCAATGCTTGAGTTTGTTTTCTCTACGGAATATAGCAAGGAAGTAGTGACTAATTGTAGGTAAAATAAGCCGGTTGAGAGGTAAGATCAGATATATAAATACGGTGAAACATGTAGATGCAGAGTCTCGTAAATGTCAGCTCTTATAAGTTCTTACATTTGCAGACATGCGACAATTGCTGTCAACTGGATCGAGGGACATTCACGTGTAATAATGAACACAGCAGTGGAAATTAATGATAGTGATAATTAATGGTGCAGAGCAATAACGGCAGTAATAATATATTATCTGCGAAAGCTTGTTTAAGCCAGCGCATTCATAAATATAGACCATTCTATTCATAAGAGGTTTGGCAGCTATTTAGCTATATATCTGCCAAATTACTGCATCCTTTTAAGCATTTTTGTTTTTAGGAAGAAAGTGAAGTCATTTTCTTCACATTTTCAACCGAACTCTCACAATATTGCACTTTTAGACACTTCTTGGTTTCCCACAAAATTAATCAAACTTACTGCATATTTCTTGGAATCGTGTATTTATTGCATTCGGCATCTAAACACCAAATAGTATTCGTTGGAATGTTCTACAGCATCTGGAATGAGATTTTCTCCTAAACGGCACTTATCATTCACCAAGAAGAATGGTCCCGGGCTTCTCTGTAAAAAAATCACTCTACAATCCAGAAATGGTTTGCCCTTAGCTGAGCTTCTTTTCATAAATGTCAAATTATTTCTCAACTTGAAAGATCATAGAGAAATTAGTCACACGCTGTACATCGCAGGACTACTGCCAGGAATACGCACCCCATCTTCCCTCTCCCCTTCCCACCATTCCACCCTCCCTCCAACCCTCCAGCTACTACAAGCGGGTTGAAAATTTGACAAAATATTTGTTATAAATAGTGTATCAGCTTATTTCATTGCAGAAGTATTCTTTCACAACGAGAAAATCGATCCGAAATTGCAGTCTTATTACTCGTGACTGCTCTTTTGCAAACACTACAGTTATCAGGTAGGAATCGATTAACTCGTCAGTGTTAATGTTCAGGATCCACTAACTACTACTGATGAGTTATACTTTCAGTAGCTTTGGTGTTTGGTCAGCGGCACCTTTTACCCTGTCTCATTCGAACTGCAGGAATTGTTGGTAACCTAACATACCACAATTTCGTCGATAGTCAAGGTGAGCATGTTTCTGAAATGTTAAATCAATCACTGAATCTTGTTAAAAACATATGTTACATGTTGTTCTGATCATTAACCAGATAGCGGTGTTGTCTGAAATTTCGTTAGTCATCGAGTAGAATTTGTGAGCATCTGTGAAATTTCCATTCGTTGAGCTGATCTGGACTCCTCTCAAAGCTTATGTTGGGCATCACATCTATTATTCTTATCATGTGCTTTATTTATTTTTTAATGGCGGATGGAGAACTCTTGAAGAGAGCTTAGTGTATACTGTCGTATCACAGCCTTATTCCTAGGTGATAACTCTTGATGCTCTCAGTTCTTTGTTGAGAACTCTGTTAGGTTAGTTAGTGAGGAATGATGGTGTATATTTTATAAGCGGTATATATTTGGTTTTCTTCGAACAAACGCGTTCAAAATAAAAACCAAACTTTAGAAAAGTTGTATGGGCCTTTAGACCGATGGCTTTGGCCTTTTTTACTCCATCGTTCGTCAAGTTCTTAACTGCTCAAGTGTTCTTGCATTACTATAAAGTTGTCGAAGAAAGAGCACCGTCCATTGCGTGGAAAAATTTGATGGAATTTTTCTTTCTAGTATTTTCAACACTAGTGTTTTTTGTTCATTTAGCAGTCAGATCTGTTTATTGGACATGGTAACTTTTTACAATAGAGTGATCTATAACTAGAGGATTGCTGTGCTCAGAAGTACTTCGTGCGCGCATCTGTGGCGCTTGGAAGCCAATCACAGCTCTAAACTACTAATTGGACTTACGAATTATTTGAATTCTTTTCTCTTTTTCGAGGAGCTGTTGTGGCAATATTGCGGACTTTTTAATGATGCATTCGTTTCTAGGAGGACTGCACAGGTATCTGCTGCGCGCGATAGAGGACTGTTCCGTGCTCTCGGCGAATGCTGAACAAAGGGAGGCATTCACCGAGAAGAAGCCGATGAAAAGCGAATGAAGTGATCGTCGATCGCCTTGCATCCCAGTGATCTCAATGATGCTGTCGTTCCTATTCAGTCGGATATGATCTTGTGCAATTCTGGATAAAGCAGAAATTTACATTGACTGTCAGCTTGACGTTATTGTAGTAAGCCTTGAATGCAGTGTTGCTTAGGTACTAAATGTGCTAATAGCCACATAGTTCATGGAAGGCTTACTTTCAATTTGTTTTATATTTAAGATCTTAGTGTTCTATTTCTTGCAATCACACAGTCTACCTATTCATGAAGTGGAAATAACGTGAAAAGGTTGACTAAAAACGTCGACTACGAAAATGTAGCAAATGTCTCTCCAAGGCATTGGGTATTGTTGGTATGCAAAATTAGGTTTGGGAAGTGAAGCAAAATTCAGTAGAGTATCCACAACCGCTTTCGTTCGTACAACTATTCTACCCGATATGCTTTGCGAACAGTTTGAAGAGCGCTTAGGTTGAACTCAAGAATTCAACAACAATTCTGTGCATATTTCGTTTTGTCCAGTTTCCTTACCTATTGATTTGACGTTCTTCTGAAATAGCCGTTAACTGGGGCAATGAGTGGAGGCTTACTAAAACAGAAAAATAGAGCCATCGTTAAACAAGAGATGGCTGCTAACATATTTGTACGCCTTGACCACACATCGTAACAAAGCCTTGCTCAGTTTAACGTTTTCTGTTTTCTGTAAATTATAACTTACACTAGTTCTATACAACTAGCACATGAAGCCTTGGATAGACATTGTCTGCAGAGCGCTTCTGAGTTGAAATGCTCACTGTGGTTTTAACTAATCATTGAACATATCGCACGAACTGAGGTTTTTTCTATACCAGTTTTTATCCTAAAGTGTTTTTTGTAGTTTTAGGTTGTCTTTCTTCTTCCTAATTTCATGCACATTTCATGAACTTTGTCAACCAATCATAGTACATTTGTATGTTATCAGGATACAGTGAAATGGCAATTGTATTGCTAGGTGAACTTCGGCAAAATTTAAATAGAAACAGAAATGAGAGGCTATCATTAGTCGAAATAAACAGAATCTCCGTGTATTCAACAAGTGTTATGAATGTGATTTGAATGTAACATGCATGCCACATCAATGGTTGATCGCTTCAACGTAGTATGTGGCCATTCTCTGATGTTGTTATTTGTTGCTGGGGTTTGCAGCAAAGAGTTATTCTTCTACTTGAATGATTCATCCAATCCCAGAATGCGCTTGATATTTTCGCCCGGAGGAACAGTAGCAAGTAAGCACATGTTAGCACTAATCTGTGAGAAAAGCCATTCGATAGTCATTCCCTTTTCGATCCACTTCCACAAAATCTTGTTCGATTCGGCGAATACCGGAGGTCGGTGACGACCTGGGAATGCCTTGCAGTCTTTCCACGTGCCTATTACTATCTAGACTATACAACAATTAACGCTGACCTGCCGATGTAGCACCTCAGTGAGGCTGTTCTACAAATTAGATAACAATTTATCGACATCAGTGAGATAGAAGACTTGCTGAACAGTTCATTTTATTTAAATATTACGGGTTTTATTGCCTTTATTGACACATGGTAACGACACGTGTCTCACATGACTCATTCGTTTCCTTGCAGGCCAGTATGAGGCACACACGACTCATTCCCAAATTTCGGCTTGTTATTTTACTGCGTGGAACGTTTTTACCCCGCAATTTGTAATTATTTGATTGCGCGACGCAAATTTTTAAATTGACACAAGCAAAAGAAGCTTCATTCTATAGATGATAAGAAAGAAATTTTTTTTGGACAAGTTTACTCGTCTGCTTTGAACGATAAGGTTTCTATGTTCTCGCAAATCTGTTCGACCTGCGCGTACGCAACGTAGGAAATTTAATTGCCATGACAGGGTGGGAAATCACTGAGGAGACGTCCATAGAAGTGTTTGCAGTAAGTAGAGCGAATGGGTTTGCACAGCTTTCGTGAACACATTGCAGACATTGCATTCAAGAACACATATGTGTTACAAATAGAATTTATACAAGTATTATGTCACACGCTTTGTAATTATCACAGGCCTCACCCTTTACAATTCGTACTTTTACGGAGAATTCACTCAGAAATTCTACTATCAATTTACTATATTCACATGCATTCTCACAATCTATGAAAACTACAACTAGCTTTTGCTGTAGTAATTATTTACAGGGAACGAATAGCACAGTGGTAGCGATTTCCGTCATCACGAGTACGATTTCGCTCCAGGCCATCCAAGCCTCTCATCTCTTCGGGATCGGGAAATTGGTACCGGATTTGTCTGGCAAAAAATCACTCTCTTCAATCCAACTGGTAACGCTCCAGCTGAGCTATCTCAGGACTCGGGGGAAAATCGACTCGACCAGTACTCAGCGATATTCGACATTAAATGAAAATCCTCAAGCAGCAATCGAAGCCATACGTAAGCGTTGGAAGACCGTGGTGGACGATGAATGCGAGGAAACGAACTGGATGTGAGAAGTGATGTGCTGGGATCCTCACAGCTGACTTGAAGGCGGTTCAAGTAAAATAAAATAAAATAAAATAATTTTTAACACAATTTGAACAGAATTTATCGTGACATTGGATGTACCTAGTTCTTACCTGTGTAACTTGTATTCCAGCAGATTTGGCGTCATAGCATTTATATAAATTTATTGTGACAGTGACCAAAGTGTCTCCGTTTTTTTAGTTGTTAAACACCACCTTTGAGAATTTAGCTACTTATCTGTGAAGTAACTTGAGCGCTACCCAATTGAAT